CCCTGGTGCCCGGGCACGAGTGGGCTGGCACGATCACGGCGCTGGGCGCGGGCGCGCCCGGCCACCTCGCCGTGGGCCAGCGGATCATCGGCGAGCACGTGACTGGCTGCCAGCCGAGGCTGCCGGGCGGGGCCGCGGACCCCCCGCCGCCGCCCGCCGCGCCCGCGGGCTCCGCCGCGCCGAGGGCGCGCAAGGCGCCGCGCCTGCTGGACTGGGGCGGCTGCCCGTTCTGCGCCAAGCCAGGCGGTGAGGGCAGGTGCCCTCGGCGCTTCGAGACCGGCTTCTTCGGGCGCGACGGCGCCTTCCAGACGGTGCTGCGCTACCCCGCTGGGCAGCTGCTGGCGCTGCCCGCCGGGGTGCCCCTCGCGCTGGCCGCGCTGGCGGAGCCGCTGGCCACCGTGCAGAAGGCGGTGCGGCTGGCCGGCCTGGGGGACCTGAGGGGCGGGGCGCGCGATGGCAGCCCGCGGGCCGTGGTGGTCGGCGACGGCCCAGTGGGCCTGCTGACGGTGCAGGTGCTGCGCTGGCGGGGCGCCCGCGTGGCTTGCCTGGTGGGCACGAGCACTTCGAGGCTGGCCCGGGCCGCCGAGCTGGGCGCGGAGTCCACCTGGAACATCTGGAGAAGAGGAAAAAGCGCAGTTCAGCACAGACGGCCGGAGCTCCGGGCGGATTTCTTGGCTCTGCGCTGGGACCCCCTGGCTTGGCAGCGACCCCGGCGCCGCCCCTGGCGCGCTCAGCGTGCCGGGGAGGGAGCTCCAGTGCAGGTCCCAGCAACCCGCGCGGAGCTCCAGAAGTGCACGCCTGTGCAGCTGTTTTTCTTCCCCAGCACGTCTCGGAGCGGCCTGGGGAGCAGGAGCTCTGCGAGGCGCTCGGGGAGGGCGGCGAGCTCCCCCCGCTCGCCATCGAGGCCGCGGGGCACCCCGCGGCCGTGCCGCTGGCGCTGCGGGTCGTGGAGGCGGGGGGGCGCGTGGTGCTGATGGGGCTGTCGGGGAACAGGGCCTCCGAGGTGCGCGGGGACGACGTGGTGCTGCGGCAGCTGACCGTGCGCGGCTCGCTGTCGAGCGAGCCGGAGGACTGGGCGGCGGCGTCGCAGATGCTGGCCCAGGGCGCCGTGGAGAGCGTGGTCACGCACACGCTCCGCGGCCTGGAGAGGTACGAGGAGGCCATCGGCATGGTCAGGAGGCCGGCGGAGGGCCAGCTGAAGGTGCAGCTGGCGCTGGACGGAAGCGCGCCAGGCCCGGGGCAGCTAGAAGGCGAGGCCGCGAGCGCCCACGGCAACAAAGCGGCTCCCTCGCTGATTGCTGCTGTTGCTGATCGTCGCCGTCGTCCTCGTGGTCCTGGTCGTTCTGATTTCTGATCCTCCCCCCTCCCTGCTCTTGGAGCTGTTGTCTTGCCGCTTCCAACTGTCCGCCCGCCTCGCACGATGAGCCTGTTTTCCACCACCACCACCACCAAAAGTTGGAGGGGGGAAGGAGGAGGAGGAGGAGAGCGAGAGGGAGGAGGAGGAGGACGAAAAGGGGGAGGAGGAGGCGGAGGAGGAGGAGGAGGAGGAGGAGGAGGACCCCCCTTCCAACTTGTGGCGGGACACACGCCCAGCATCGCACGCTCCCGCTTTGCTGGACACCTCGAGCTGCCAACTTGGCATCGGCCACGCGGGACGCCGCGCGCGCTCGTCGCCCTGCGCTGGGCCGCCACCTCCCTGCACGTACCCAGGCCGACGCCTTGCTCCTCCTCTCCTCCTCCTCCTCCTCCTCCCCTCCTCCTCCTCCTCCTCCTCCCTCCTCCTCCTCCCTCCTCCTCCTCCTCCTCCTCCTCCTCCTCCTCTTCTGCAGTCCGCGCCGCCGGCCCCGGGTGCTCTCGAGCCCACTCCTGGGACCTGCTCTGACTACCCACCTACGGTAGGTTTGCGTCGTGTCGACCAGCGGCGACCCCAGCGCGGGCGTTCAACATTGAGCGCCGCCGGCGACCCAGAATCGATCGATGTTGAACGATCGGACGTTGCGGCAGCGGCCGATCGTTCAAGGTTGAACGATCCCTGCGGTGTCAAAAACCAACGCTGGGGTCGGCACGACACGAACCTGCCGTAGGGGAACAAAACATGACATAAACATAGAACCTCGGAGGTCCGCGCGGATTTCTAGGATCGGCGCTGGGGACCCCTGGCGGCGCCTCTGGCGCCGCCCCTGGCGCGCTCCGGGGACCTGCTCTGGCTACCTGCCAGACCACCCCAGCCCAACCCGACAACCCGAATCTCGGGTTGGGGGGGGGTATACGGGCTCCATATGTGTTTTTTGCCGATTTTCCTGAACTCGCCCCCACTGGAACTGGAGGGCAAATTGATTTGGACGCCCGAAATTGGTACGGAAAGAATGGGTACAATGCCCAACAGCAGTTCCTGTTCATTTTGAACAGGGCTCGCTGTCCGCGCCGCCGCGGCCTGTGTCCATTCGAGACAGGAGGCCGCCTGCCCAACAGCGGCCGCTGTTGGTTTGGGACAACACTTGTTGTTGGGCATCGTACCCATTCTTTCCGTACCCATTTCGGGCGTCCAAAAGTTGCCTCGGAGGCGACGATTGGGGCGAATGGCCCAGGGGGGAGCAAAACATGTATCCTCACAACCCGCTAAACGACCCCAACCCAACCCGAAGGCCTCAATTGTCCCTCCATTTCGAGTGGGGGGGGTCGGGGAGCATTGAAAAAACACATGGAACCCTACCCCCCCCAACCCGAAGTTCGGGACAAATTCGGGTCTTCGGGTTGGGTTGGGGTGGTCTGGACAGGGACCTTCTCTGCGGGCCGAGCCTCTGGCGCCCGACGCGCTCCCCCGGCCCCTTCCGGCGACGGCGTCGTCGGCGAAGGTTTGTTCCGCTCTGGGGTGCGACGCGGCGCGTCCTCCCTGCGCCGGAGTTTCAAGATTACCAGCCTCGAAGGTTTTCATTATCCCTAAGATTGATACGCCAAAAGGCGATGACAATCTTAGGGATTCGCCCTAAAAAATAAGGGCCTCGAACGTTTCCCTGTCCCTAAGATTGACACGCCAAACGGCGATGACAGTCTTAGGGATCCGCCCTCAAAAAACAAGGGAATCGCCCAATCTTAAAGATTGGCATCGTGAGGAGGAGGTGCCCAGCACAGGGATAGGGATATGTCCCAGGCTGGTCACAAGATGACTTCCAGAGCTTCCAGGAACAGAGCGCCCTCGGGCCCGCGCTCCAGCAGGGCGTCCGCCGAGGGGCGCGCCGGGGCGCGAGGGAAGTTGCCCCTGCCCCTGCTGCTCGAGCTCGGCTAGGGCCTCCTCCAGATCGGGGCCGCCGCGCCGCCGCGCACGCCGCCCACGCGCTGCCCGGCCCAGCGGGGCCTGTGGACCCTCAACGGCACCGTAACGGGTACTTCCTAACGGGTACTTTGCAATTCTGCCGAAAAACTCTTTCGCCGTCGGGGGCACCTGCCCCTGGGCGGCTGGGAAGTTTATACCACTACGGTCCCACCGTAAGGGTATAAACTTTACAGCCGCCCTGGGGCAGGTGTCCCCGACGGCGAACAAGTTTATTTTATACTGTTCTTCGCCCGTTAAACACAGCACCGCCTCCGCCTTGGTGAACGAACCACTTTGGCTTGGCGTCCTCCACCCACGCGTCGGGCTCGCGAGCCTTGAGTGGCGTCGGGGTTGGCGCCCCCCCCGTCCCCCCCCCTTGCAGAGCGAACCGTCAGCGACCCCCCCCCCGGGTCCCGAGCATGGAATGGCGTCGGGAATGGCGCCCCCCCTCCCCCTTTGCAGAGCGAATCTTGAGTGAGCTCTAGTCCACGCTCTCAGAAACTCACACGCCGGATCGGCGGATTTGTTGTGGACGATGTCTATCATACGAATAACGATTATTATGTCAGTGCACATGATGTGATGATGTCAATAATTGTGATGGCGGCGGCGGCGACGATGATAACGATTATGATAAAGGGGGCCATGTGGCATCACGTCCCCCAACCCCCCCTGGCGAACTCTCGGGGGAACTCAGTTGATTTGTTTGTAACTTCCCACCCTACAGCCGGCGCGCCTCGCAGGGAAACATTGTTTGGTTACTCTACCACACACCCACCTTCCGCATAACCAGAAAATCGGAGAATACGTTTTGGCATTGGTCGGTGGCATTGCATTCGACGCCCACCCATTTTCTGCGGGCAGCGGAGCTGGGGAAGGGTTTTAACATGTCTCCCAACGGGGTTGAGTTCATTATTTGACCCCTGTCTCAGAGCGTAGATTTGCTGGGAAAAAGAGTGGTACATCATCATGACCCCTTTTTGTGGATTATGATGGTGATGATAACGATGACGAAGGTGTTGATGCTGATGACGATGAAGAGGAGGATGATGCTGATGATGTTGATGTTGATGCTGGTGACGATGATGATGATGATGATGATGATGATGATGATGATGATGATGATGATGATGATGATGATGATGATGATGATGATGATGATGATGAGGATGAGGATGAGGATGAGGATGAGGGATGAGGATGAGGATGAGGATGAGGAGGATGAGGATGAGGATGAGGATGAGGATGATGGATGCTGATTGCTGATGCTGATGCTGATGCTGATGCTGATGCTGATGATGCTGATGATGACGCTGATGATGCTGATGCTGATGCTGATGCTGATGCTGATGAGCAGGTGCTGCTGTCGATTATGCTAGCGAGGAACAGTGTGACGATGGTGCTGAAGAGGAGGGAGGAGGAGGAGGAGGAGGAGGAGGGAGGAGGAGGAGGAGGGGGAGGAGGGGGAGGAGGGAGAGGAGGAGGAGGAGGGGGAGGAGGGGGGAGAGGAGGGGGGGAGAGGGGAGGTAGGAGGAGGAGGAGGAGTAGGAGGAGGAGGAGGAGGAGGAGGAGGAAGAGGAGGGATGTCGAGGAGGGCCCCCATGCCCAGAGCGCGGCGCTGGCGCGCTGGACCGACTGGGGGACGCTGGCCTCGGCCGCGGCAAGCTTCGCCGTCTACGCGGTGCAGGCGCGGCCTGCGGGGGACTCCTCTCCTCCTCCTCCTCCTCCTCCTCCTCCTCCTCCTCCTCCTCCTCCTTCCTCCTCCTCCTCCTCCTCCTCCTCTCCTCATCATCCAAGTCCACACTCCCTCATCCATCCATCCATCCAGCCTCCTCCTTCTCCTCATCCCTCCTTCGCTCGGTTCGGCTGCCCCCGTCTTTGCTCCCACACTTCCCTCATCACCTCAGCTCGCCTGGGCATCGTTTCTGGATGGGCCCTGGGCAGCGGGGAAGGTCCACTTGAGCGATGCACCAAGAAGGGGCCGTCTGCGCGGACACGGGTGCGTACGCTGCGCGCGTCAGCTCGCGGATGCGCTCGCGGGTGAGCGCCCTCCGCTCCGCCCCAGCGGTGCGCGGCTGGGCGAGGGTACCTCGCCAGAGTGAGGGCGAGGCCGAGATCACTTCGTGCACCCGTGTAGCCGCCTCTGGGAGAACCGAATTTCCTCCACGTGGTCGACACGAGAATACGGGGTCGTCTGCGCCGCCATTTGCGCGTAAGGTGCACGCGTAGGCTAACGCGTAGGCGCCCTCGTTTGAAATGTAGCGTGCCACGCTGGTGGCCCGCGTCAGCCACTGCGCAAAGTCGCTGCTCCACATCACGTAAAACCCGGCGCTCGGAGACCTGGAGATTTTGGACCCCTGAGAAGGAGGAGGAGGACTCAGGACTCAGGCCTCCCGTATGGGGTCCGAGTAGATGGGGTCGGTTCATCGCGCCGCATCGCCGATGCATCAGCGGTGCTGAAGGAGGATGGGGCCGGTTTTTTCTCATGGGGCGCAGGGGAGGTTCAGGAGAGAGCGCTCGGAGAGGTCGAGAGTCTGTATCCCTGAAGGGGCCCAGAGCTCCCACGGCAGCATGGGTTTCACCCCGGCTGGGTTTCTCCTCGAGCTCGGCCTTGGGGTCCGTCTCCTGGGGCCCCACTCAGACACGGAACCGGGGCGAAGGGCTGCCCTCAGCCACGCGCGCGGAAGGGGGTGGGGGGAGGGGGGAGGGCTTTTTTGAAGCGCCCCTGCTTCTTAGAAAGCGCTGGCCTTATCTATAGATGTAAGGCCAGCGCCTTCTAAGAAGCAGCCTCCTTCTAAGAAGCCCTCCCCCCTCCCTCCACCCCTTTGTGCGCGCCGACAATGCCCCCAGCAGGGCGGTCGAGACTCGGGGCCGCGGGCCGATGAGCACGCCACATCTCGGCGGAGGACTGGCGAGGAGCGTCGCCGTGGTGGAGAGGGGCCCTGCAGGAGACGGGTCTGGAGGTTTTCTCTCTTCCGCCTTCGACGACGACGACAGACGACGACAGACGACAACGACGACTACGAGGACGACGGACGACGACGACGACGACGAGGACGAGGACGAGGACGAGGACGACGACGGACGACGACTACAACGACGACGACGACGACGACGACGACGACGACGACGACGACGACGACGACGACGACGACGACGACGACGACGACTTCGAATACGACGAGACAACGACGACAGGGGGGGGACCTCCCCTCGCCTGGGGAACGGAAGTCAACGACTTTGGGTTCCAGGGCTCCAATATGGGTGTCCGAGTAGATGGGGTCGGAGGATCGCACTTTCCGCCGGGCTCCCTTGCGGGGCGCCACGATTGGTGACAAGGCAGATGCGAATGAAAGGCCTGTCGTGGGAAGGGGCAGTACTTCGGAGGCTCCACGCTGTGAACGGGGTGATGGGTTCCCTCCTCCTCACTGCTCCCTTCTACTCGTCCTCGTTTAGCTATCGTCCTTCTCCCTCGCCTCTCCTTCTTCATTCTCGTTATGCTCTCTCCCGCTTCTCTTTCAGCTTGTCCTTTTCCTTTTCCGCCTCCTCCCTCCCCCCTTTTGGCGCCCGTGCTGGTAGATACCCCGTGTTTCTGCCAGCAGCTAGTGCGTGCCGCACTAAGCTGACCGTCTCCTCGGCGAATCAGAGCGCAATCCAATCCCCTGTCCGTCCTCCCATCAGTCACCCTCAATCTCCCAGTCTGGAGAGCACAAGACAAGTTAATGCTCATCCCTACGTAATTAGCCCCCTCGCCGAGGAGGTCGCAGATTGCCCGAACCATCCCCGATCCCCTGCGTCTTGGGGATATTATCAGCGACAACTCAAGCCGTCGACGTGCCAACGCCGCTGTTTCGGAGGTGTTCAGGCGTTGTTTTGCAGATGTTCGTCGCCATGCCTTGCTGTGGCTCGGAGAAGTGGTCTGGATGGACACCCCGAGAGGGCTGCTGTGTTGGGTGAAGCTGGCTCGGCTGGACTTCAGGCTTCTGGCGTCTGAGGGACAGCGCGTTGGCCAGATCTTCAATATTTGGAAGCGTTGCGGACATTTTCAGGTGGTGTTGGGGCGCTGGGCGAAGTACCCGCGGCGAAAGATGTGACCCGATGGCGGGTGTCGACTCTGCGCGGGGCCAGCGTCACGAAAGAGCGAGACATTCAAGGCCTGGGTCCTGAAGCCTTGAGGTATTCGGAGATTGTCCTGGGCCTCTTGGGGGCTCGCTGGAAGCGTCCGGTTCCCGTGGGGCTTTAGTAGAGTAGTGTAGGGCACCAACCATAGGACACGCCCGGAACGCCGCCTCCAACATGCATTCCGTGACATACGCCACCCGCTGTCGCAGAAACATGACATCATGTTTGCCAGACATCGACGCGGTTGGGAGAATTGGCCAACATTCACACAACAACATCAGCAACAAGAGGCACGCGTACCAAGGATCAGACACTCACGGATGCAGGACAATGAGAGATTGAGGTGGCGCCGATTTGTGCCAGATTCGGGGAAGCGCGCGAGTGCTACGACACGCTGGCGAGTGACCATAACGGGGAAGCGGCGAATAGCAGCGTGGCTGTGTGGACGCAACGTCGGGCTCGCTCCGAAGGCGATCTCAACGTGGCGAGAGGATTATGGTGTATCAGCGGGATTTTTAAATGCAGGTCCCCTGTCTGGAGCGAAACGCTTGGGTCCCAAGAGGGGATGCGCGATCGTGTGCGTAGCCAAGACCCGCCAACACGTTGTGGACTGCAGCGCGTTGTGGACTGCCCCAAGGCTCATTCAGCCTTGAAAATGGGGGGGGGGAGGTTTTTAAGAGCCCGAACCCTTGGTCGCTCTTGCGCGTTGTCGCGCGGGCCCGGGGTGTGTCGCGTGGTCTCGCGGGGCGCCACGAAGCCCCGAAGACGGACCAAAGGGGCCCTCATAGACTCCCAAACAGTGGGATAGGGACCCGAGTCGTCGAACGATCGGTCCAAGAAGCACAGGATGGCTTCCAGACTGCCCAAGATGTCCCCAAGACGCCCCAAGAGGCTTTCACGAAACCTTCGAGAGGACCCCAAGAGACAAACATAACATATGGCTGATAATTGTTTGAAAGATTGCTCGCTCTTGGGAGCCTTGGTGTGAAGAACTTGTAACGACACTGTGAGCTCGTCGGAACCATGGTGCAATTTTGGCGCCGCGGTCGGTCGGTAAGAATAAGCAGAGAGGAGGGGGCACGGGGGGGCACGGTCGCGCAGGGAGCGGGGGGGCACGATCGGTCGGTAGGAATATGCAGAGGGGGGGGGGGGGGCACGGGCCGGGGGGAAAGGGGAGGGCACGGGGGGGGCAACGGTCGGGCGAAGGGGGGGCGCGCGGGCGGCTGGTCGGCACAAGAAGGGGGGGGGGGCACAGAGGGAATGGGTGGCGCACGGGGGGCCAAGGTCGAGCGGGGGGGGGCACGGTGGGTCGGTCGGGACACGCAGAGCGGAGCCACGGGAGGGGGGGAACACGGGGGGCCACGGTCGGGCAGGGGGGGGGCACGGTCCGGGAGTGGGCACGGGGGGAAGTCGGCGGGCCTGGGGCCCGGGGGGCCACGGTCGAACAGGGGCGGGGGCGGGCACAGTCGGCCGGTCGGAATACGCAAGGGAGGAAGGGGGCACGGGGGGTTGGGGGGCACGGGGGGCACGGTCGGGATGGGGGAGCACGGTCGGCCGGTCGGAATAAGCAAACGGGGGGGCACGGAGGGGGGGGGGGGGCATGGGGGGACACAGTGAAGCAAAGGGGGGGGAGGGGGGGCACGGTCGGTCGGTCGGAATGAGCAGAGGGGACCATTTCGGGAACGGGGGTGCACCGGGAGCCACGGACGGGCTGGGGTGGCGCACGGTCGGCCGGTCGCAATAGGAGAACGACGGGGGGCCATTGTTGGGCGGGCGGGGCACGGTCGGTCGGTCGGTCGAAACGAGCAGAAGGGGGGGGGCACGGTCGGGCAGAGGGGGGGCACGGGGGGCAATGGTCGGGCAGCAGGGGGGGGGCACGGTCGGTGGGTCGGAATAAGCGGAGAGGGGGGGGTACGGGGGGTGAAAAGAAAAGGCAGGCAGGGCCATTATCGAGCAGAGGGGGCACGGTCGGTCGGAATAAGCAGTGGGAAAGGGCACGGAGAATAAAGGGGGGGCGGGGAACCACGGTCGGGCATGGGGGGGGGCACGGTCGGTCGGTCGGAATTAGCAGAGGGGGGGCACAAGGAAAAAGGTGGAAGGCACGGGGTGCCACGGTCCGGCAGGGGGGGGCAGTGGATCAAGCAGAGGGCGGGGGGCGGGGGCCACGGGTGGAAGTGCGGGAGCACGAGGGACAACGGTCAATCATGGAGTGAGTTCACGGTCGGTCGGTCGGGAAGAGGCAGGGGGGGCACAGGGCGGAGGGAGGGGGGCACGAACGGCCACGGTCGGGCAGGGGGGGCAGGGTCCGCCGGTCGGAAGTAGCAGAGGGGGTGGCACAGGAGGAGAGGAGGGAAACACGGGGGGCCACGGTCGGGCAGGAAGGGGGGAGGCACGGTCGGTCGGACGGAATAAGCAGATGGGGGGGCAACGGGGAAAGGGGTTGGGGGGGCATGGGGGCCCACAGCCGGGCAGGGGGGGGCACGGTCCGTCAGTCGGAATAAGCAGAGTGGGGGGAAGGGGGGGGGGGGGGGGTGTGGGGGTGTGGGGGGGGAGGGGCACGGGGGC